TATTTGAGTGGATAGTGGTATAGTGGATGCATAATATTACATTAGTTTCAGGTGTACAACTTTAAGTGATTTGACATTTTTATTTTTTTATTTTATTTTTTTAATTTTTTTTAACGTTTTATTTATTTTTGAGACAGAGGCAGAGCATGAACGGGGAAGGGGCAGAGAGAGAGGGAGACACAGAATCAGAAGCAGGCTCCAGGCTCTGAGCCATCAGCCCAGAGCCCGACACGGGGCTTGAACTCACGGACTGCGAGATCGTGACTTGAGCTGAAGTCGGACGCTTAACCGACTGAGCCACCCAGGCGCCCCAACATTTTTATATATTATTCTGTGCTCACCACGAGGGTACCTACCATCTGTCCTGTTATATTGCTCTTACAATATCTTTGTATTCATTATGTATTCAGTGTATGTATTCATTATGCCATTTATACCCATGACTCACTGAAGTTCAGTTAGAGGATTTTAGAATAGTAAATATTCTGGTCCCATTGTGTTCAAATTTGAGATCTTGATAAATGATAATGATATACATTTTCTTAGGGTTATGGGAGAAAATTTCCTCCATGTATTTTGATTTCCATTTGTGTACAAATTAAGGAAATGACATTTTTCAGGATTTTAGAAAAAGAGATTGTATTGTGTACTGTTTTGAGTGAGGATAGCCTTTCAGTGGCATTTGGACATTTAGGAGGAATACTGGGTTAATAAGACATGTTGAATAGAATAAACCAGTTGCTATCCATGACTAAAAACATGTTTGAAGTAAAATTGAATCTCTCAGACGGAAAGGCAAACTTATTATTTCCTCCCATAGTACATCTGTTTAGGGCTGGCTGACTAATCCTTTGAGAAGTTGCTGAACTTCCTCCAAGTGCTGAAAACCTAATTCTGTTTTAAAAATAGCTGTATGTAATCTTATCTTCATACGTGTATTTTAAGAGTTTAACAAAAAGGATAATTATTTTTACAACTAATGATTTGTTAGACCTAGATTCCAGTTGAGGCTTTCTTTTTTTTCTTTTTTTCTTTTTTTTTTTTTTAAGGAGTCCTGGGAAAAGTAGTCCAGAAGAATACAGGGTTTTTGGGAAGAGAGATTGGTCTGTTGTTTTAATTTTTTTTTTTTTTTTTTTTTTTTTTTTTTTTTTTTTACATTTCAGTTTGATGTTAATATCTCAAATATGTGAGAATAGGAGACTTTCTCCTGTGGATTACAATAATAGCTGTAGATGCATTAGAATCATAGAATCATGCAACAGGGTCCCTCATGAAACTCCTTAGCTTGTCTGAGAAATCTTGTACTAATAACTCTACCAAACCAGCTACAAAGCTGAAATAAATTACATTGAAAATACGTGTCAAAGTATCAACCTAAGTGTTTTTAAAATCAACCTAAGTGTTTTTAAAACTTCTAACTAATTTCTTTGAACTCCAGCATTCATAAGCAATTTGTAACTGAAATGCTCATGACGGAAGAAAAAATAATTCTAGGGAGTGGTCCTTTTCATAGACTACCCTTATTTTTTCTTTCCTGTGGTGGATTCTTCTTCACTTTGCTCCTGCACTTTTCCATAATAGTTAATAGTGCAAATTTCTCAAGCCAGACTGGCTGTTTATACCATTACCACCTTGGGCAAGTTACTTCTTTGTGCCTCCATATCTTTATCTGTGAAAGAAATACCTCACAGCTTTGTGGTAAAGGTTAAATGAGGAAATAACTTGCAGATCACTTAGAATACTGGCCAACATGGTATAGGCATCCCAAACCCAAAAGTGTTCACTGTTCTCATGGTTCTTCTCTCACAGGTCTCTTTCCCCTGTTCTGTATTTCTGGCATCTCTTCCTTCAATGTCCATGTTCCCAGCTCATGTGTTTCTCTTTTATGATTAGAGCAACCAATATTAATAGCTTACTACTTGCTATTGTCTAGTCAAATTTTACCCTATTTTAGTCATTTCTTAATATAACACTTGGTTCTCCGCATGGTTTTCAAAGAATACTTTCAACTTCTGTGTTTTGATTGGGTTGACAGATTTTTTTATTTCCTTCCCAGGGCAGTTTCCATTGAATGAGTTCTATTAGTTATGTTTAAAATGAAGGAGAAAAGAATACTTAGTTAGTTAATGTGGTAAAACTGAGTGATTTGTAATGGCTTGAATACCTGTCATCAAGGTATGTCTTTTAGCACCAATTCTGGCTTGGTAGTGTGGGGGCCAGAATCACTTAACTATAACCATGGCTAAAATGGATGACCCTGGTACAGCTATTAATTTAGAGTACAACATGGTATGTCTTGTATTAGGAGTCTATGCTATGTATGGATGTCAGCAAAAATCATTTACAAATTCTTGCTTATGAACTGTCTCTAAGATAGGTCTTTAAGCACTTCCTTATGTCATTAATAGAAGACATGAGACAAAAGGTGTGGCAGGCAGCTGTTTGATCTAGTGAACCTTTTGGTTATAAACAATGGATGTATGAGCTCTCCTGTTGATAATTATATCTTTAAAACTTTATTTTTTATTGAGCTAGTTGTCCTTTTTATGTGAATCTAATTAAGATGTATTTCCTAAGTTAATATATATTTGGTAGTCTGTTTTGCTTCTTCTCTGTATTATATATAATATGTTAAGGTGGTAGTCCTTGCATGGAAGTTTACTTGTGGTTAGGAAAAAATAATGAAGGCAGTGAAAAGGATAGTGTCTTTGTTTTCCTTGCTTAATCATGGGGGCTTTTCCTCATCAGGAGCTCTGTGGTTTTGTAGCTCTTAAAACAAACACCAGCATTCTCTAAGAAAGAAGCAGTATTTACATGTTGTATTATATCTTGTATGCTGAGATCTCTTTTTGAGAGAGAAACATATGTTTGGTGAGTTCATGTTTCTTGAAATATACATGATTCTTCAGACTGGAATGTAATGAAATAGGACTCCCATTTGAAAACCAAAGAGTTAAGGCTACAATAGAGGATAAAAGTGATCAAATGATTAGCCAGGGGCTAATAGAAATTCTGGGAAGAATGACAGATTGTGTATTAGAAAGAAATATGATATCATATTCATTGAAGCTTTTACAACTAAAGATCTAAAAGAAATAATAGAAAATTACTGAAAGAGATGAATGTCTGAAACTTTAGAAACGCACGTGGTGTTGGATTAATCCAAGCAAGAAAGACTGATGGGCGGATAATAAATTACAATTGTATAGGAAGTCTGCATTCCTTGTGTTCAAGGTACTTTTGTCTCTTTTTTTTTCCTTGCAAGATATATTTAAGCAGCTTGCCAGTTGCAGAAAATTCAGCTCATGATTTTCATCATCATACCATATGTGTATGATTCTTTGGAATAGATAAAGTATTATAAACAAGACCCCAAATCCTTGAGTGAAGGAGGTTAATCTAAACCTTCCTTCTGTTCTGTGCCAAATTGATAGCATTTTTCCTTTTGAATGAATGATACAGAACACCTTTTCACATACAATCAGTTGCAATGCCCCAAAACTAAAAGAGTTTGAAGAAATGTCCTGTACTTCTGTTGGGCAAAAAGCTATACTTCAACAACCATACTAATGCGGGAAAATAAATAGTCATAAACTGGAAAATGTGTGTATACATAATGAATTTTCATTGAGGAGAAGTGAGTATTTACTTAGCTGTTCTAAATTTTATTTTGCCATGGGTACGTTACTTTACTAAAAAAAATTGTGTATGTGTGTTTGCATGTAATTATTGTCTATCTTCATATAAATTTATGTACAAAATAGTATATTTCCTTTTTTTCTTTCTCCAGTCGTCACATAGTACTGTAATAATTGTGGAGAAGTTCAGCTACGTTTACACATGTTGTTTGAGAAAAATGCATTCTTCTTTTTAAACATTTGAGCCTTTTAATCAATTTTTCACCAGATTTTTACCATTCAGACTTGGCATTCATTTGTGTTCTTAGTTTTTGTAGGTCCAAGGAGAAAGTAAAATGTTTCCTGAAATATAAATAAGTAATAAAATTAACGTGCGTACAGAGTACACTCTTTATTCTTCTTGGACATACTCTTGTTGGCCCTTTTTTAATATACACTTAATCTCTGGGGGAAAGAGAGATTATTACTCTGTTAAACTGAAGTTCTGACTCTAATCATCTGGGTTTCTATGTACTTAAACATGTAAGCTTAAACTCAAGTATTTACATATAAATGAGTTCTATGTTCTGTAACCATATTAAAATATTTCCTAATATATGATGGAAGGTTTATAGGATTTTTTTTATAGCTGCATCAGAAATGGGATCATTATTAAAATGCTTTAAAAACTACTTCTTTCTTGGATCCTGTCAGATCAAATGTAAGAAATAATGCTAGCTTCAGGTTTTGATTACATAATACAGATGAGCTCTGTTAATAAAATGGAATAAAAGTTGTACGTTTTGTCCATTTAATATGCTTAGCACTTACCACTGAATCTTTTCTAATTAGTTTCAGAGGACAATTAAAAATGTAACTCATTATGCACTTTATTTTTATTTTATAATAACGTGAATAATGTGTTGGGGGGAAGCAAAGAAATGGAGAGGAAGGGAGTGAGACTTCTTTGGGTGTGGGGGGGGGTCTCTCTCTAGTACCTATCAAACTCCTGTTTCTGTATCAGTTGTTGCTAAACTAACCTCTAATGCCTTGAACAGGATTGATAACATACAAACGTGTGCAAAACATCAAAAAATTTTTCATTTATAAATTCCCTGTAATTAAGACCCTTCCTTTTACCTAAATAGTTTGTCTTGGGTTTGAAATGTAAACAAAGCATCTATAATGAGCTACCAGTTATTCTCTACACAGTTATTTATCTCCATTCCTGGCGTGTATATACCTTTGGGATAATGCAGTATGAGTTAATCTTCCACATGTTGTCAAAGCCCTAATGGACATCTGTGTTTCTGTATAAATTATTCTTTAAATGGTTAAGAAGTATAGAATTCTAATAGAAACTGTTTTTATGTTTTTTTGCAGCTATGTCATCATATCTTGTAATTATTAAAACAGAGCTTCCTGCTGCTATTTCAGAATTTTTGTCAGGAGGCCATACTGGGTAAGAAAAACTATTTCCCGTTGTGTCCATTAATTTATTAATTCAATAAGTATTTATTCATGATATGGCATATTAGGCAAAGACAGGAAGGAACTGTTTCTTGGAGAAGAAAAAAGGAGAAATTTCTTCTTTTGATGAAAAAATGAGGTGGGGAATGGGGGTTAGTGGAAAGTCCTGCCCGTAAAGGTCTTAAACAAAGGAGGGGAGTGGTTAATACTACTGTCGCTTTTCAGCAAACCACAGTGATAAAGTTACAGCCACACTTGTGAATTTCTATTCTAAAGCAGGGTTTGAAAAAGTAAATGGTTTGCAGGGATTTAATTATTTCATTTCCTGTTTTTTAACAATACTATAAACAATACTAAACCACAGTATACTTCCTTTCTCCCTTATTTAAAAAATACTGGGTTCTAAAGACTATTGACTCATCTCTTTTTATGGGAAAAAAACAATTCTGTTTTTCCTTGCACAGGAAAAGAAACTTTGCGAAGAATAAACTCGAAAAGACAGAATAAATTCTTTTAAATGTCATCAAGTTATTTCACATAATTTCTAAACCATAATACAAAAACCTATCAGACTTTTTGATGTAATTATTTGGCTGTTGTGCTCTAATATGTGAACTTGTTCTGGACTGAAAGGCAAGTTTTCAAAATTAACTTTTTAGCTTTTGCAACTCGGCTTCCATGAAAAAACTCTACTTAGACAACTGCAAATACATATTTATAAGGAAAGTATGGTGTACTTCAGATCTGAATAGGAATCGAAGTCCCGCATGATTTTTCATCACCAGAAACTATTGTGCCTTTGTGTAGTACTTTACAGTTTATAGGGTTTCCACATTCATTATCACATTTGGTGTTCACAACTGCCTCATCTACAGCTTTATCTAGTTACTTTTACATTTTATGCTCTTAGTTTGATGAACAATTGCTATAAGAAATAGCTGTGTTAAATTCACTTTTGCATCGCTGTGAAAATAATGAGGACAACTTCTGTTACTCAAAAAAATTCTATGTGACAGGTTTATTTTAAGGTTTAGGGCTAAGAACTCAAGGCCATGAGAAGTAGAATCAGGAATGTTAGACTAAGAGTAAGGAGACATGTTCTATCCATGTGACATTCAATGACCTCAAGAAGTTTTACTTCTTTTGGGCATATGACTTAATTCTGTGGTTTGGGTTTCTTCACCTGGCTTAATGGGGGTACCAGTGTTCTTAAGAACAACTTCTTAAGAAAGTTGTTGATATGATCAAACAAGATATTGTATATACAAATGCTTTTTGTAAGCTGATAGCATAGTGTAAATGAGGGGAATTAAGAAATTCCGTAATGTTGTGTGTCAAATATACCCGCAATTAAAAATAAAGAAATTTCAATAATAATAACTACATGAAAGGTGAATTTGCCCTGTTTGCTCTGCCAGGAAGGTCAGAGTCAAATTTGAATGTGTTGCATAAACTGTTAATCCTAATAGTTGTCACATGTGCTTTGCCTTCTTCTTGCTCCTGAATTTGGTGACTTCTGTTTAAATTTTTATTGTCATATGTTTTTGTGGAAAGAGAAGGGATAAAAATGTATATAAAATTACAGAAGGGGCGCCTGGGTGGCGCAGTCGGTTAAGCATCCGACTTCAGCCAGGTCACGATCTCGCGGTCCGTGAGTTCGAGCCCCGCGTCGGGCTCTGGG